GATTTTCATCTCTCTCTTCTGTATTGCACTTTCATTTGTTATGTTTAAGGAACATCAGAACAAATAAATCATAGTAGTTGCTGGTTGTCACTAAAATAGATGCATCTGTTTTATCTGAAAATACTTTCTTTGCATTGAGTATTTCTCTTTTGGAATCAGCAAAACTGGAAAAAACCAACCCATAGGGTGGGGTATTGAAACTTTAGTTATCATATGACCAAAATGATCTAGAGTAGTTAACCCCCCCCTTTTTTTTTTCAGACTAAAGAATCACCCTTATTTTGGGAAATGGGGGCGGGGGGGGAGCTCTGTTGTCATCTGTCCGTCTGTACCCTTTTTTCTTCATATAGTGGAAAGGACAAACAGAAGGTTTGCCTGCAGGATAGCTTAAGGATATAAAAAGCAGCAGTGAGGGAGAAAAAAAATCATCACCACTGTCAAGTATGAGCTTGAATGGGAGAGGTTATCCTTGGGGCAGGCTTGCTATTGAGTTTGGAGAACAGTTTAGAAAATACTTCAGCTTTTTTCACGGATGCAATTTTTTTTTTCATGGAGGTATTCATTGTTTTGGGAAGAACAACTGGAGATTTTGTACTACTGTGACGTTTCATACTATTTATTCCCATATAAGAAATAAATTAATTTGGAACAGAGATGGTCATAGAGGGATAAATATACTTACGTGTATTTTGGGCGTTTAAGTCTATATAGAAGCTTACAAACTAAAAGTAAAATAACTGTATAAGATTTTTTTGGAGAAGGGGACTAAATATTATGGAAATATAGGTTCTACCCGTTCATGGTAAAGCTTCCTATTTTTCTGATGTGTAATGAAGGAAATTGTAGTATCTGTAATCATAAAAGGAGAAACCAAAAGACATCAGTTGAATTCTGTGCTTTCGATCTGGACCTGAAGGTTACAATTCATGATTTGGAAAAGTGTGTGTGGTAGTGAAGAGTACATTGACAGAATTAACTGAAGATCCTGACTTCTTCAGGCACCTTTCAGTGCAAAATTTGCCAAAGGACTTTCCAATATGGAGTGACTGGGTGATTAAAATAAATAAATAAAGGTTTAGAAATATGTAGTGTAACGCACAGAGTGAAGAAAACAATTTTAATTTCACAGTAACAATCTCTGAGCTAATTTTTACCACTCAGGAACTAGATTCAGGGATGATAATAATTCTGTAGTCAGGTTGTGTGCATTAGCTGTGAACTGAATTGATAGAAAGCAGAAGTTTTTGAAAAAGGGATAGGGAGCAAAATTTAAAAAAAAAAAGGGAGGGGGGCGGGAAACGTGTTGAAAGTCACACTGTATTCAAATGTGTTCCCTTAATCTCAGAAAGGAAGGATGTAATGGACCTGAAACAGTACAGAAAAGAAACACCTCAAAAATGTTTAAATGTATCCAGTGATAGGGATACAATATATAGATTAAACAGACTAGAAATTTCTCTAAAGGAAAACTCACCTGATAGAAGCAGTTAAATTATTAACGAAGTAGAAAATGTAAATAGTAATAACTAAATGTAAACAAATGCTTGCTTACTCTCCCTTCTAATTTGAGAACTAGGGGCATCAAATTAAACTAGCAGGTGAGTTTCTAAACGGAAGGTGTTTTTTTATATTGTACAAAGAAATGACCTCTTGTTCAGGAAGTCTTTGATCCACAAATAGCTGAAGATGTCTAACTGTTCTGGTAAAGCACTGCTATATATTAAACCTGTTCTTTGCCCATCGGCAGAGACTGGTGGTCTAAACTAACTCATTCTTCCTTCTGACCTGTTACAGACGGATTTTTGCATTCTTTTAAAATGAATTCACTAGGCAACCGAAAGAGCTTGAACTACTTACGTTTTTGGCTGGTACACCAACATGGGTCAGCAAATTTGGGGTTAGAATCCAAAAGCTGCTACCAGTTAACAAGTCATCATCTGAGTCAGGGTAACTGTCCGTGTGTGAGATCTTGATCTGCATAAAGCTGAAGGTATTCAGGCTGACTTTTTCCTACTCCTACTGAGAAAGGGAATTGCCGTTTCTTCCAAATGCACGCAACCGTCCAAGGCAAGATACTTCATAAGTACGTAGGAGTGACCTGTGTACATCAGTAAATTGAAGTGAGATTCTAAAATGTGGATGTCCGTGACAGAAATACAAAATCACAGCTATGCTATCTCTAATGGCTGTTGAATCAGAAATGTATTCTAAGATTTTTCCAGTTCCAAGGATAGACATAACTTTGGGTAGCTGTTTCACATGGCGTGTTTGCTCAGTCTGTTTCCCCAATATTACCGTTCCGCTGTGGCACTAGCGTTGATGAGCATAATTTATCTGTCACTGTCTCTAACGAGTAGCTCTGAACGAGATTAAATGACAATGCAAGCATTGCCAACCTGTAGCTCTTCAGTGCAGCTTTTACACTATAGGTATCTATGACAGGGCTGAATTATGTCATCGTCATTGAGACTGATGTCTCCCCAAAACACAAGCCTTTACCATAGGTACCACTTGTTCTAGAAATTTTGCACTTTGATGCTGAGCCTCTATATAAGCATCCTAGAGGTTCATAGTTGTGCTATAGTAGACCAGGGTCTGTCGTGGTGCTAGTCAAATTTTAGTAAGTATGCTGCTCATTTTTTAATATACTTTCATGATAAATATTCCATTGAAAAAATACTTGTTGAAATAAGAACATGGAGCACTAAGATCAATTCCTGACACTCCAGAAAAAGCACTTTATGATAGTGAAATCTTGATGCAATGGGGGAGGAATTTAGTAGCAGATATGTCAAGCAAAGAATAAAAAGGAACAGTTTCTTCAATATGGAATAGGAAAGCCCAAATGAAAGACCTTATAAACATTCTAATTATAGACATTACAGTCATGAATTCTTTTTTACAGATGAGATGAGATTAAATAATTGCAGAAGTAGTTTATCACTGGCAGTCCTGTATGTTGTTTGGTGAAGATCAATAGCATCATTCAGCAGTAACTGAATACATTAATACATTAGCCAGGTGAATAATATTGTTTCCTTTAAAAAAAAAAAAAAATTCTGACCCTTTAGAAAACTTCAGCTTGTCTAATCCAAAAATTGAGTTAAACTCCCAGGGAGAGGGAGCATGATAGACTAGAAAGAAGACTGAAAAGGTAAGCAAAAATAGTAGAAGTAGTTTGAATGTGTTTAAAGTTAATTTCTTATTAGAAGAACAATGTTCTGGACTCCAAATAATCTCGTTGACAAAATTCTAAGATCTTGGGATGGATTGTGAGCTATAGAAAAAGGACCCTGTAATTTCATGTAAAGTGATGTGAAATCTGTTAATGAAAAGTCTTAAATGAAGTACTATAAGCATATATGCCGTAAAATAATTTTCCCTGACAGTAGCCAAAGGTGTGGTTTCACAATCCAGTTGGGCAGAATGAGCAGCATCATTTTCGTTCTCTTCCCTTCCCCCATCTGTGCTATCAGCTCATTTGTTGGCATTAGTGCTGTGATTGGTACTCATTCAGCTGAGTCAGCTCTCTAACAAGATAAAAGTGCATAGGGTTTTTTTGTTGTTTATTTTTGAGATGTTAACAGGGTTTTGCTGTTGAAGTGTATGAACAACCTTACTGTGAAAACCAGATGAATCCCAGAGGTAACTAAAAGTAGGCAGCAGGACGAACGAATTAAGGTTGGAAATGGAAGTAGAACTTCCCTTTTTGGCAGTGTCATACTGCTAATCCAATTCAGGCTGTATTGTTAAAAAGCATATTCTAAAATTCCTTATCTAAATTTATCACAGCAGTAACAAATAGTGTTGTGACAACTGACCTATATGTTAATGTACTTTAACAGTGGTAAAGAACATTGGTAGGAAACCAAGGTGAGATACTTTATAAGTGTTTTAAAACGACATGTGTGTATATCTCAGTAAATTAAAGAAAGATTCTAAAATTTGGAGGTCAGTGACAGAACTACAAAATCACAGCTATGCTATGTCTAATGGCTGTTCAATCAGAAATGTATTCTAATCTTTTCCAGTTTAGTGTTGTCAGTTTTATGCATAATCTTGTTCGACATAATTCTGTGGTAACCTAAGTTTCGCTAATCCTTTTAATTGGCTCTCTTGTGTTTAATGTTGAACAAGAATTAAAGTTATAAATAAAGTAATCAGGCGTTCCATTATACCAATTTTCTTCCCCTTACGTTCAGGGCTCAAATCTTGCTGGGTACTGTTGGTCTTGTTTTGAACTTAGTCCTGGAATTCTACATGAAATGGCATGCAGCTGTGACATTGTACTAACAGGCTGCCAGCAGCTAACTTACAGGCTTTCTGGTTGAGGTATATCCTTAATGCTATGCTGGTTTTTTGTTTACATAACTCAGAAAACAAATTAGAATTTTAGATCTGGAAAGTTGCAAGGCGTCACTGTTTCGAGATTAATTTGCCAAAGTATTTAGTCAATGTATTGGTTAACTAAAGACAAAGTGGTTGGTCCAAAGCCAGTAAATAGGTTAGTAAATGAAACCTGTATTCTGGACATAAGCTGTACTTCTGTCATATCCCATTTTGTCCTTTACTCTTGTTCTGCTACGTTATTCTCCTTTCATGGCTTCTGCTTTTTTTTCTTCTATTTTTTGTGCTGTTTCTATCAGACTTGTCAATACACAATAGTTCTGAAATAATGTAACCAGAATTTCCATTTCATTTGGGTTAGGAAAACAATGAAGTTCAGAAGTAAGATGGCTTATAAAATATGTGAGTACTTGGTGGTAGAACCTCAGAACCCGACACATGTTCTCAAAAGCAGAAATATTTTTTGTTTCCCAACCCCCCTAGCAAAGGGCTGTTAGTTATGCAGTCAGCGTATGTCACATTTATCTCCATATTATTTCTATTATGTAGAAACTTTATGAAGCATTTCATACTGTTGAATTAGGTAATAAGAAATCTGACTTTAAAATATTTGTCTTTTGATCAGTTGCGGCCAAAATCCTTCTGTTTGGATTCTGAACTATGACATCATGGCAAGATTTCGCAGAAGAACGTGCATCATTTTGTTGCTTTTTATTTTGTTTATTTGCTCCATAATGATGGCTTTGAAGACCCTGAGACCTGACAGAGCTGGCTTTGGGGATCCATTTGGACTTGGTTTGTTGCCCGAGCTTCAACAACGGATAGTGCTCTTAGACAATAAACAGAATTCACTAAATAGGGTTCAAGGAGATACTGTAACGCGTGTCAGTAATTTGCATAGTATCGCAGTCAATACTATGAAAGCATCTATGCCTCCTGTAAACAAGCTGGAAGAAGAGCTGGCTTCTCCTAATTATAACTTTCACATATTCTACTATAGTTGGTTTGGGAATCCACAGTTTGATGGTAAATATATTCACTGGAACCATCCGTTGTTGCCGCATTGGGATCCCAAAATTGCAAACAATTATCCAAAGGGAAGGCATAATCCTCCTGAGGACATTGGGGCCAACTTTTATCCTGAACTCGGATCTTACAGTTCCAAAGACCCTTCTGTCATAGAAGCCCACATGAAACAAATGCGTTCAGCTTCAACTGGTAATGAATGTTAACGTTTCAGCATGTTGTTCATGTATCCAGCCTTAAATATGTGAATGAACACAACTGACCGTTATTCCATTTTTCTGTGTAATTCTGGAAATGTCTGAAACTTGTAAATGTCTTTGTATTTCTGAGTTTTAACCCCTCAACCGAAACCTACATCTTCAAAGCTATGTCTGATGAGTGTAACAGCACAGAAATGTAAGAACTGTATTTGTAATCCTGTAGGTGCACGTATTTCATGACTTACTGTTAAGCACTGATAACGTATGCAGAAAATACGGTAATCATTGCTAGAATATATCATCTGTGTATTTTATTTTTGGAGATGAATACTTCAGTTTTAAGAACAGGTTTCAGTAAATCATGTTAACGCGGTTATGGAGCAGTCTGTTCAAACAGGAACAGGTTTTTTTCTGAATTCTTTGTGTGTAATAACAATTATGTATTAATTCATATGTCAAAGAGCATGTAGGATTATAGCTTTTATACAATTTATATTTTTTGCAGTGTATTTATAGGTGTTCTTAGCTATGGAAATGTCTAATCCAAACCTTCTAGAATTTGGGTATGATAGTTTCAATGTAGCTAATTATAGTTTATTTCTTTGTACAAAAGTATCTTTTTCAATACAAATTGATGTTCCCTTTTTCTAAATAAGAGGGACTATATACCTAAGAATATTCAATGTATTTTTGGTGTCATTCTTTGTTGTAGGGCTTTACGGTCCTTCTTATTTTCATCTTCTTTAAAATAAGCAGTCGTATAGGCTAATATTAAACTCTGAACAGCTTCTGTAAATGTAGTTGGAGCAACATGACCAGACCATAGCATTATTGAGAGTGCTAATCACCTTGAATATAATCACTTTCATTCACCCAATCATTAAGTTTTGATGTAATTGTTATATTCCCATTAGTAGTGTTTACTTGTATAATGTTTATTTCTTGGTTATTGTTTTCTCCTGGTTTTTAACCTAGCCTGTATTTTGTTCAAGGGTTAATACAAACGTAGGAAATTTCTCACCCTTTTCAGTAATACGATAACTCCATTAACAGGAACACTAGCAACAGTGGGAAAACTGTTGCAGAGAAATCTCAGGTATTAGTTGCCAGTAAGCACTTTTTTAGTCTTATCTAAAACAAAATAATGCATGATAGTGTGATGAAAGCAGAGAGGGCACTTGTAGCTTTAGAAGAATCTGTGATGTTTCTCATCCTCATAATACAAATGTGGAAAAGGTGCCAAATACTAGGAAAAATGCTTTGCAAAATAAGGGGTTTTTTTCTTAGTAGCTTCAATTAGTTTTCCATTTAAAACTCAGCAATGTGAATGAGTAGTTCACGCTTCCTGTGACATACTCTTTGTAACATATTACTGATATTTGCCAAAAGTGATTTTTTTTTTCTGCTGTTATTCTGACTTATGGATTTAAGTACACTTGAATTTGTTCTCTTCCATCTAGATTTGACCAATATAAATCATCAACTGTTTTTTCCTCAGGTCATTACTTCAAATATTGCATCTTTTTTTTAATAAGAATTACACTTTGTTCATTTTTTGTGTACTGTGAGGTTGTCTATTTACAGTTTCTTCTTTTTGTCTTTTAGCCAATGTCTAATCCATGACTGCATTTTACCTTCTGTCAAATAATAATTTTTCTTCTAGCCTTTTTTGAGGCTTTATCAAGGATCTTACAAAAGGAGAAAAATGTGTTTTTTTCAGGCAACACTGTGTAATGATCAAAGGCATATAAGAGATTGAAGCAGCAGGAGTCTCATGCAGCGCTTCCTTGTATTGTTGTACTTTACAATTCTTTCTTTATTTATTAATTTCCTAATTTTTAACAGATTAATACAATAGATTTTATTCCTCAGATTGCTTGGTGAAATTTATTTTTTGCATCAGCCTATTTTTGTAGTAGTCCGGTTTGAAGTCCTTCATTTATTTTGAATGACTCTACTCTGGTTTTAAACATGTTTTTGCTATTGTTTTTGGCATCGAGTCCATCCTTTTTTAGATGCCTGAAGTGGTACATAACTTTATTTTTTAACCACAGGAAAGAAAATACTAAGTAGTCTTTCTCAGGAAAAATGTGAATTTAGATTCCTTGATGAACAATTCTGTCCCCTGAACTTTTCTACGTTTCCTAAACATCTTGACAGATGTTGTATTCAAGATACCTTGAGTGTAACCTGAGTTTGTTACTGCTGTTCTACTTGTCCTTTACATCTTACTCATTTGAATTTTGTCCTTTTCTTCTGTGTGAAATAAAAGATAGGGTGATAAAATGTGGTAAAATATTGCACTTTTCTTGTCCTTGAGCAGACTATCTCTTGCGATAGTTAGTCTATTATTTCTGATTCTCTTTTTGATAAAATGTGGAGAGAATATGCTGAGGGTAGTTGAACTAACTTCTGTGTATAGTGAGCTCAAATTTCTGGTTTTGATGTTAGAAGATGATTGTGTATTCACTTTATGCTTTCTTTTTCATAATTTTGGACTTGTTTGTTTGGAAATTGTTAGTCAGAAATGTTATAATGTTAGTAAAATAGATGAAATTTGGAGTATATACTTCCCTATCTCAGTGACCTGATTTGTGTACTTAAATCTTTACCTAGTTAAAAAGAATCACATTGACTTATTCTTCCATATGTTTTAAATAGTATTGTTAGGAAAATATTCCTACGTTAGTATTTCATGTATTTCTCTCTGTCTTACCTTCTTCCTGATATTATTTCCAGCTACACACCTAAAAGGTCTAACTTACTTACCTGACAGCATTTTATTTCAGAAGGAGAGGGTTTCCTTTCTGAAGAGATATGCGTTCTTTTGCTTTCATGGAGAGAGCATCAGGAAAATTTACAGTATAGGGACATTGTATTTGTTGGTTTTTTTGACAGGAATAGTAACATCCTTAAATTATTGAGAGTTACTCAAGCATTTTTTTTTTAGGTAATAAATTTAAAAACTAATTTCACATGGTTGGAAGGATGGATTACACCATAGTAACTGGTTTTGGCAAGAAGGAAGGTTGTGGGATTACAGTCACTGCTTCCAGTATGAAATAGTTGTTTTGGAGTAGAGCCAGAATTACAATGCAGAAATATGATGGGGAATAAAGTTTCATAAAATAAGAACTTATTTCATCACATGAATAGCCCTAATCTCTTGAGTGTTCTCTAACCCTATGTATCCTAATATTCTCTGGCTGTACTGTGGCATAGCTATAACGCCTTAGTTGGGAGCATTCTCCTCCTCTTGGTGTACAACCTGGAGGTTAGGATGCTGTGCTGAAAAGTGGGAGGGAATGGCTCTAAGTGTTAGGCGTGGGACACTGAGCACAGATCTGTTCCTGTCCTGGTTTCGGCAGGGATAGAGTTAATTTCCTTCCTACTAGCTGGTACAGTGCTGTGTTTTGGTTTTAGGATGAGAACAATGTTGATAACACACCAATGGTTTAGTTGTTGCTAAGTAGTGCTTATGCTAGCCAAGGACTTGTCAGCTTCCCATGCTCTGCCGACTGAGAAGGCTGCAGGTGCACAAGAAGCTGGGAGGGGGCACAGCCAGGACAGCTGACCCCAGCTGGCCAAAGGGACATTCCATACCATATGACATCATGCTCAGTACATAAACTGGGGAAAGCTGGCTGGGGGGGACACTGCTCGGGGACTGGCTGGGCATCGGTCGATGGGTGGTGAGCAATTGCACTGTGCATCACTTGCTTTGTGTATTATTATTATTATTATATTATTATTATTATTTTATTTCAATTATTAAACTGTTTTTATCTCAACCCACGAGTTTTTCCTCACTTCTACTCTTCCAATTCTCTCCCCCATCCCACTGGGGG